CATAGCAATATCCAGCCGCTTAATCGCCTCCATAGCAATGGCTATTTGAAGCTTAACATTTCCTATCCATCGACCACTCCACCTTTGGAGGCTCACGGCAGTAGCTCTGAGCTTATTTTGGAGTGTTAGATACACATTGGATGCAGCCGGGGTCGATGTCCACGCCATATTGACCACCTCCATAAAGCCCTCAGCCTTACACCAGAAGGCCTCAAAATAAAATCTCTTCCTCGTGGAGATGTCCACATTCAGGTCAAGCATCAACGGACAGTGGTCAGAGACTGCTGTACCAAGCGCCGAGAGAAAGAAAGTGGGGTACACCTCGTCCCACTCGTTCGAAACAAAAATATGATCAATCTTCTCCAAGGTCGCATTCCTCCTTTCGTTAGACCACGTGTAACGTCTACCATTAAGGTATAACTCCTTAAGTTCAAACCTGTTTAGTCGAGCATGGAACCTCGCAAGCATCCGCCTATTCACTAGAGCATTGCTCTTATCTTCCTGCTTCGCGATGAGGTTGAAATCCCCAGCGACAAGCCAAGGCCCAGCGTGCAGGTCACGTATGTCCACCAGGTCTTGTAAGAATTCCACTTTGTCACACTCCTCATGCGGCCCGTAGACACAAGTGAGCCACCATGGTTGCTCATCCTCTGGGCATTTCACGAGTGCCGTAACCGTATGGTTCATGAAATGGGGGTTTGATAGTTGGGTGACAGTAGCATCCCAAGCTATCAGGATATCCCCACGTGTTCCTAGAGCTGGCAAGTAAAAGAACTTATCAAATTTATTTCCGAGGCACTGTCGTACAATGATGTCCGAGACATGTTGCAACTTTGTTTCTTGAAGGCACAAAATGGTCGGGCTAGCTGCGTTCACCACCTGGAAGACCGCACTACGCCTAGCAGGCGCGTTGAGGCCCCTAACATTCCACACTATCATCTTGAGGGGATTAGTATTCATCGTCATAGTCAAAGCCTACCATAGCCACCCAACCAACTCCTGCACATGGAGTGGCTCAACCGGTGCCTCCCAACCAAAGAGAGTCAACACCGCCGCGATATGAGCGTCAGAGAGAGGCCGCGAGAAGAGGTCAATGTAAATCCGGAGGGCCTCGTCCGAAATGACCTCCCCCTTATGCGCAAGGCACAACTTACGGATCAACACTTTCTGCGGGTTTGTAGCTCCGTTCTTAGCTATTATTGCACTCCTTCTTGGGGTAGTATCAAGCTTCCTCTTCTTCCTCGGGTTCCGCGCCTTTGCCGCTCCAATGCGCTCCGCCGGCAGCGGGAGCACCGGTGCAATGGACATGCACATCTGCTCCCTAAGCTCATCCACGCAAACATGTAGGGCATCCCTTACCCCAGGCGCGGGCGTACAAGGCTCCGCACCCGGCTGCCCCCCACCCGGCTGCGCAGCGGCACCCACATCGTTTGAATCAACATGCATGGCTCCTCCCACATGAGAGTCCAATCCCCCATCGCAAGTAACAAGCTGCATGGCATCCTCGGTGCCCGAATCCACCTCCGCAACCTGTGCGCCAATCAGCATGGCATCGCCCATACCCGGGTCCACCGCCTCCTTCAGAGCAGCCGCAGTGTGCATGGTTGCCCCCACGTCCAGTTCAGCCTCGTCACGTGGTCTGCATGATGCATGGGTGCAGCTCGCCTCTGATAGGCTGATCTGGAAAGTGTCCCAAGCCTCCACCAACTCGAACCCCACCTTGTCACTCAGGGACAGCTGGCATATGGAGGTGTCCAGAGAACAACCCAACTCCTGTTCCAACGAAAGTGTCTGGGCTTGCTGCAGGATCACCCGATATGACCCAACTTGGACCGACGCGCCAGGAGGCAGCGGATCCGATGTGCACACGCCCTCGGGCCTCTTGTTTTGTCGCCATCGTACCAACTGCACCGAGGGTGGGGAGCCAATGGGTGCAACGCTCACCGCCTGCCCCTTGGGCACAAGGCCCCAACATCCGTACCCTGCGCGGCCACGACACCCGGGCCCGCAGGTGTATCTTCGGCAGGCCCCGCGATTGGCCGCCCTGCCATGGGAGACAAGCCCGGGCCCCCAGCAGTACCCTAAAGGGCGCCAGTGACAGCAGCCACGCGGGTACCACTGTCCTCCTCCACGACCGGATTCAAACCGGTTTGAATCCGCCTGCACCTGCCTACCGGCGGCGCCGCCAGCACCGCCGTGGACGAACCCATCGAACCCGGCAAGCCAACATCATTTCCACCATAGCCCGAAGCACCGCGCCCACCATTGCCACGCGGCCCCCCACCAGACTGCCTGCGCATGGGACCATCATCACCTGACGGCGGCGAAGGCGGCGGCGGTGGTGGCGGTGGCTGCTGCCCACCAGAATCACCATCACCTACCGGATCCTCCAGGACAGAGATCTCAATGGGATACCAGAGAGCACTCGATCTTCCACCAGTTGACATTCCTTGCCCAGCATCCTCCGTCCAGAGAGTGCGCCTCGGCTCGTCAATGAACAGGAGGCGGCGGCGCGGGATTAGCCGCGGCTTGTCCGTGCGCAGCCAGACGCGGAAGTCCGCCATGTCCAGCCGGCGAGCCGTACTGTCGTCCACACCAACGACATAACCAAGCCCACGCAGGATCACACTCGCTGTGCGCTGACACCAAGCATGAGCCGGCACACCCCGCAGCGAGACCGGAACGAGGTAGGGGAGAGGGGCCGCCATGGCCTGCGCCTGCCTGATCCATGGCCGGAGCGAGAGCTCAAACCAAGGGGAAACAGCACGACCTTCCCGCACCATCCGATCCCGGACCGCACCCTCACGGCAGAGCACGAGAAAATCCTCGGGGAAGAAGGCCCGAATGGACATGCCTTCAGGGCCGATGCCGAACGCCTCATGCAGCGCCTTCGCAGCCGAGGCCAAGTCCACCTGCGGCCTTGTGACAGTGATCATGACGAGGACCGCCCTGGCAAGCTCCGCCTCCATCCGGCGAGTGTCTTCGCTCGCTTCCAGGAAGCAGGCATCCACCATACCAACACCATCCATGACCGGCGCGAGGGCCCGACATCCACCATGTCAAACGGCACCAAGAACTCCGGACCCGACGCGATTCCCCCGGACGGCGGCCATGACGCGGACGGCGTGGGCGGCGCGCGCACAATGTCACTCCACAGCCTGACAGCACCAGGAGGCGGCGGGCCGGGCGGTGGCGGCGGTAGGGGGGAGAAAGCGAGCATCTTTGAGGCTCAGCATCGGTCGGCATCTGCTGTCGCAGCGCAGGCGGGGGGCGCGGCGGCTGCTCCACCGGAGAAGGGCTGCGAGGACGAGTGCACCCGCGCGAGATATGCCCCCGCCCACGGCAGCGCACGTAGAAGGGCGGATTGCTGCAGTCCGCCGAGATATGCCCGTCACTGCTGCAATTGTAGCAGCAGTCGTACAGCTCCGACGGCAACCTGGAGGACGGCGGCGGCCGGGAAGCAGGGAGCACACGAGCCCTCCCAGGGCGGCGACGCCGTCGCAGGGGAGGGCCCGGCCCTCCGCGGCCCTAGGACGACGGTGTTCCTTCGTCTGCCAGCCCCCACCAGCCGGAGGAGCAGGAGTAGGAGCAGCGGCGACGCGCGACTGCCCAACCCCGCCGCCCTGGACGAGCGGGCCAAAGGTCGTGCCCAGGACCTGCGGCACGACAATGGTGGACGGAAGCAGCGGCCGCGGGGCAGGAGCAGGTGGGGAAGGCGGCAGATCTGGGCACGGCGGGGACGGAGGCGCGAAGCCGGACTCCGAGGAGAGGGAGCCAGAGAGGGAGACCCTCGAGGCCATGGCGCAGCAGAAAGGGTGCGCGTTTGAGATGCCCTTATATCATGTAAACATGTAAGTTTGAAGTCATATATACATGATATAGATGTTGATCTAATTGTCGTACTTCATCCCATTCACAATCAAATTAACGCTACAAAATATCATAGACTACGTACTAGTATAATGCTACACGAAACTCGTGTGAATATATAGCGCATTTGTCTTTTAGGTGTCTTGTATTGTAGTTTTGAGTAGCTGGTATTGCTCTTCAAAGACAAATAGATCGTATGAACATGTTGTCATTAGCCTTGAACAAAAACGTTATAAATTAATGTGTGGATGACAGTGATTTTAGAAGAAAAGTTTGAAAAAAGTAAGATGGAAGAGTTTAGAACAAATGAGAAGTATCTATGAGGTGAGGTTTGTACATATTGTTCATTGCAAATACTCCCTCTGCCCTAAGATAAGATTTGTGCATTATGCTTAAGCTCAACTAGAAAGTCTTTTAGATTATACATGTATCAGAGTCCAATAGAGTGAATATGGTATCTGACTGGTAGTGCTTGGATTTGCCATATCTACACCGTCTGATTGGCTTCATCCAACAACCAACACTGAGTCATTCACACACTATATAGGGTATAAAAAATATTACCTCCGAAACTAAGTATAGAGGTAGTAGATATTATGAAAATACATGTAATTTTATATTTAATTATACTAATTTGGTATGTAGGTGTCGATAAATTTTTTCATAGCTTGATCAAACATTGTAGATTTGACTTGGAGTTGGAGATAATATTTGTACGCGATTCTTTTCAAGCACCGGGGCATAGAGATCCGTGCTGTTTAGATGGCATATAATTGGAGCCTTTGGATCTGTGATGGTCCGTCGTACTCTCTTCCATTGTTCTCTCGACAGCATGGGCTTCCAGTGCGCGTCACGTGGGTGCCAGGATCTTGCTGCTGTTTTACCTCCGCAGAATGAATGAAAGCACACACCACCAACCAACCAGTGCCCCTCCGACTCCGCAGCATATATCCCGACGCCCGAGACCCGATAGGCATCGCCGAATCGGCGGGGCCCCGGTGACATGGGAAAGGCCGCAGCCAAAACCATCGACGTTGTGCGCAGTCCTTTCTCCTCTCCATTTCCTAAAGCCACACCGCCACTTGAGAAGATACTCCCACACCCCTGTCCTCTGCCCCACTCTGCCTCAAATGGATCACGGCGGAGGTGGTCGTGGGATGGCAGGGGACGAGGCGGCGGCGGCTTCCACCAACCAGAAGACCGAAAGCTTCGGAGGCTGGTGAGTCTGAGTGAGACGCCCTCTTCCTCTCCTCTATCCTGTACCGGCAATCTGTGCTGCCCCGTTGTGCTGATTCGCCTGCCATTAGCTGGAGCTCGTTGATCTGTCCCTATTTGCTGTTCCTTTGCTTCGGTTACCGAGTGAGCACAGAGCTAAGGCAGAGTGTTTGGAGGCGACCCGGGCGAGATACTGAAATTTCCATCGGAGGAAATGGGGGATCGATTACGAGGTTCTGCCACTGTGGCTGATTATAACCGGTGGTCTTGTCTAATCCCAAGTTCAAGCGGAAAGTTAATAAGTGTTTCGCGTGTTTCTTACTGCGTTTTTGGCTTGCTAGTTTGCGTTTAAGCTCGCGATTGAGTGGATTGGAGAAGTGCCGGTGAACTTTGCCAAGAAAATATGTGGGGTTTGTGACGGGGATAGCTGCTTTCTATGATTCTATCCATATGATTAAGGCTAAAATCATTTCAATTAATTTGCAAATTGACGATCTACTGTGTACATTATAGTAATTACATACATATAAATTGATGGTGAAATAAAATTAATTTTAAATTATTTATATCTACAGTTAATATCAACAGTAAACAACCTGCTAACTACCTACTTTTTTTTTTTTGAGATAGCTTACCAGGCTTGCTGCCTGGTTGCTAACTACCTACTAACAGTCCTAAACTTTTCTTCTTTATTTTACACTAGGCCAGCGCAAGGTTAGACAGAATTTGTGTTACGGTGGATAATAAAATACTGCAACACTAATAGGTTGGAGTTAAGCCGGCGTACACTGAAAGAGCTATTAGCATTCCCTGTTGAATGGCCAGCTGATAAGGTTTTCCCTTTCTGGATGTTAGTTAGTATTTTTCTCTGTCTCTTTCATCTTGCTTCACTGGAAAGAGATGCCGGTTGACACTTCGTAGCAGATAGCACCTCCAACTTTATTTCTAAGGTGTTGCGTGCATGTAAATAGGCCTATACTAGGTTGGTCATACACAAGGTTTACACCGGAGAAAGTCAATTTGGTAATTGGGATTAATCGTTCATGGTCTAGATGACATGTTACCACATTGGTATGGTTCGCTGGTCTGCTGTGACAACGCAAATCTTCACCAAAATATCATATTTTTTCTCTTTTTTTGAGAGATTAACCAAAATATCTTGCGTGTATAAGATATTAAGATGTTGGATAGAAATTCATGTAAATATGTAGTGGTGTTGAGGTACATGAAACTTTTTTTTTAGAAAAGGAGGATAAACTCCCGGCCTCTGCATCAATCGATGCATGCAGCCATCTTTATTAATTATTCCACAAAGGTCCGACAAGAACATACATCAATCCACCCGAAGCCACCACTCACACCTGCAAACTCGATTATGTGGAGTGCTCTCACTCCCCATATCTAAAACCGGTGTCGTCGCCGATCCATCCACATAACGTATCGGGACCAACAACCGGTGCAGCCTACCTAAAGCGCACACCACATGCACACGTTTTTGGAGCCGCCATCATCATCGGACCACTGACCCATCTTCAGGAGAGAGATCTTCATCATCCTTGCCAGTCCGGACATCCGTCGACCTCACCACGGCGCCACTGCCCTGAGCTCTCCGTCCAGACGCGAAGACTCTGAAAGATCTGTCGTGCGTAGCGCCTGCCAACTAGGCATGACTCAGCGTAGCACTTGTTGGCCAGACATGACTTGACAGCTCCACCAAAGCTCAGTGCAAGACGAAGCAGCTCCACCTCCTGCCTCTGTCTTCCAGCGCTGCTCCACAAACGATGCTCCCAAGAGAGAAACGACACCGTAGTACCGCCATCATCCGATCTGGAAGACCAGATCCTAGGGTTTTCCCCGAAGCAGCACGAGTGGGTCGACAATAGTTACACGACGATGCCTTCATCAAGGTAATGGCGCAAAACGCCGCCATCGCCCGCCAACGGCTCGGTTTTCACCGGCAACTATGTCTCCCCGACTCAATAGCCGAGAGTAGATGACGATTCTCGAGATCCGACCACCCAGCCGTAGGCCGACCACCTCTGGCGGAAGAGAAGACCACCACCGCTGGCTGCACTGGCCAGAAAAGATCTGACCAGAGGTGCCGCCGACGCGACCACCAGGCCCTCCACGCCGCCGCCGCTGATCCAAAGGCAGATGGCGCGCCACCGCCGCTGCCCGAACAGGGTTGCCCGCCGCACCCGCCGCTCGCGCCGATGCTCCCAAGAGAGAAACGACATCGTAGTACTGCCATCGTCCCATCTGGAAGACCAGATCCTAGGGTTTTCCCCGAAGCAGCACGAGTGGGTCGAGTGGGTCGACAACAGTTACACGACGATGCCTTCATCCAGGTAATGGCGCAAAACGCCGCCATCGCCCGCCAACAGCTCGGTTTTTACCGGCAACTATGTCTCCCCGACTCGTAACCGAGACTAGATGACGAATCTCGAGATCCGACCACCAAGCCGTAGGCCGACCACCTCTGGCGGAAGAGATGACCACCACCGTTGGCTGCACCGGCCAGAACAGATCTGACCGGAGGTGCCGCCAACGCGACCACCAGGCCCTCCACGCCGCCGTCGCCGCCGATCCAAAGGCAGATGGCGCGCCGCCGCCGCCGCCCGAACAGGGTTGGCTGCCGCGCCTGCCACCTCGCCGATGCTCCCAAGAGAGAAATGGCACCGTAGTACCGCCATCGCCCGACCTGGAAGACCAGATCCTAGGGTTTTCCCCGAAGCAGCATGAGTGGGTCTACAGCTGTTACACGACGATGCCTTCATCAAGGTAACGGCGCAAAACGCCACCATCGCCCGCCAACGGCTCGGTTTTCACCGGCAACTATGTCTCCCCGACTCGTAGCCGAGACTAGATGGCGAATCTCGTGATCCGACCACCCAGCCGCAGGCCGTCCACCTCTGGCGTAAGAGATGATCGCCACCGCTGGCTGCACCGGCCAGAACAGATCTGACCCGAGGTGGCGCCGACGCGACCACCAGGCCCTCCACGCCGCCGCCGCCGATCCAAAGGCAGATGGCGCGCCGCAGCCATCGCCGTCGTGCCGATCGGATCGGGCGCGTCTCCATACGATTCGGGGCCCCGCACAACCCCAGAGACGCGGGAGAGAGGCGATGTCCTCCGTCACCGCCGTCAGCCCCGGGCTTAGGCCGGCGGCGGAGGAAGGGGAGGAGGGAGTGCGCGCCGGTGTTTATATTGATGACACGGTCATACTATTCTTCCTCGTGCCGCTGTTGCCGACTGGAGACCCGAGGTACATGAACCTGACGCATGTAGCAACCTAAAATCGTATTGGATAGATATGGATTTTTTTTTCTTTTTGGAATGGGGATTACCCAGCCTCTGCATCATAGGATGCACACAGCCATATAGATATGGATTTGTATGCATGTGAAATTGCCAAGGTGTAGTTCCGATGCCTGCCATTCAGATTTTTCGTATCTCAAACATGCTAGTGTCTTAATGCATAAAACTTATTTAGCCAAAACTGGTTGAAAAGCTGGAATATCATAATACAGCGTAATGCCGGATGCGGTACCTTGATCAGAATTATTGGACATGTTTGGAAATTGGATCATTACAAGAAACTGAAAAGCTAGTGTCGTGGCTGAACGAAATGAGAAAATCATTTGTCAAGTAGGAAAACACTATAGTGCATTTAACTCTGGGCCTCCACCTCACATTGTGAGTTTCATATTGGTTCTGTAAAACTGGTTTCCAGTTTTGCTTGGTAGGAATTTTTTAGAATTCTTAAATAAAGTACCGACCAAAATGGGAGAGTGGGTGTAATGAATCGGACTTGTTTTACTTGTTGCAAGTGCTGATAAATACTCTTGCTTCTCACAGATAGAGAATATTTTGTGTTGGCTATTTGATCGGTTAATGCTTACTGTTATGTGAAAATAAAATTTAGGTTTGTAATAATATCTCATACTATATTGCTGCTGTTTAGTTCCAGCTCCAACAGCGTGAAGAAAATTTACCCCATTGACAGTCCAATTAAGAAAAGAAAGTCACAGTATGACCTCAGTGACACAAGGCTGTCATCGCTGAAATACAAGTTTCAGGACCGACCAACTTCACAGGAGGATGAGACTGCAAGAACAGAAAGCTTAGGAGGTGATGACATTTTCGTCAACAAGAACTGTAATGTGGACATGGTCAATGCTTACAAGGGGTTGGACTCGTGTGAGAATACTCAAAGCCTTTTAGGTGGTTGCATCGAAGTCGACTCCATAAATGGAATCGAGAGCCAGTCTATGAGAAAACGGGCATCTGCATCCAGCAGCTCAAGCAACAACATTTCATCGGACACTTACAGTTCTTTTCATAGCTATGGCACCAAAGAGACTGACAGCTGGGTGAGGCCACACCTGGAGCATGATGGCTCAGGTTTGCTGCTGCAAGCATACGATGATGACATTGAGAAAATCTGCGCTGTGATGAATGAGCTAGCAGGTGGTGGTGTCGATGGTTCTGCTGATCGTATCATGGATGAGACGCTTTACTCGAATGGCGTCGATGATTTCATGATTCTGCCAGCAGGCAAGAATGGTAAGCACTCGCGCATATATTTCTGCTTGCATCTGTTTGCTGCCTATATGTGAATACTATTATACTAACACTGTGCATGTGGCAACCAAAATCAGGGGAGAAGAAGAAGCAGCTAACCATCGACCAAGAATTCGAGCAGTACTTCTCAAAACTCATGCTTTAGCGTGATCGTAACAGAGAATTTGCTGCCTTGAAGTCTTGAAAAAATGTTCTGCGTCCTAACCTATCATGAATGAGCAAATGCCAGTCGAGGCTACCATTGGAGTCAATTCTGTATTTCTTAACCTAAGTCTTGACACTGCAATGTACATATATGTTTCCTTTTCAAAGCCGTACCTTGAGTGGCCATCGACTCCTGGCTTCAAATCTGCCGTGTTTGTGTATATCTTATGAATAATGAAAAATCTGGAATTCTAAGCAGCGTGTTCCTTTCATCTGCTGGTGTTCTGAATGGATCTGTAAGGAAGCCATATTCCAGAATTGGATGTTGAACTATAGATTATGCTATTGGTGATCATCCGCCTGCCTAGACTTGTTGCGAGTGAAAATAGCAGTTACTAGGAAATTATTTGGAAGGTTGAAATGTGTCAATCTTGAATTCTTGACGACATGGCCTATTTGGGAGCGTGCATACCAGCCAGTGTCTTTTATGTCACCATGTATGATGCAGAGTTGTCCTTCGGGAGGGAGAAGGCCAATTTGGCTCCCGGGCTCTGCACCCGCTCTGCACCCGCGCCGACGAAAAAAAATCGAAACAAATACTAGAAAAGTTCAACTTTTTTTTTGTGTGGTAGATAATTTGATGCGTGAGGTTCGCTGAAAATTTCAACTCGTTTGGACATTTGAGCATCTCTCGGCAAAAAAGACAAAATCGGGTCTGTAAAAAAGTGTATTGTTCATGAACTGTTTTGACCCAATTTGTCTTTTTTGCCGAGAGCTGCTCAAATGTTCAAATGAGTTAAAATTTACAGCGGACCTCACGCATCAAATTATCTACTACACAAAAAAATATTGGACTTTTTTGAATTTTTCTAGTATTTGTTTTGATTTTTTTTTCCTGAGCGGGAGCATTTGAGCCCGGGCTCAGACGCGGGTCTTCCTTCGGGAGGGCGAAACCCTAGCTGCCATTGTCCCCACCCTCCTTGTCCTCTCGGCATTCTTTTTTGAGAATTCTCGCACCGTTTATTGATTATCC